CGGGGTCGCCCGCATCGCCCGGCCCCAGCCCCAGGCCCGCGGAAGCGGCGGCGGCGGGCGAGAGGAAGAGCAGGGGGGCCCCGGGCTCGGTGCCCAGCGACAGCGCGCTGTCCAGGCCGACGGCGGGGCCCGGGGACGCGGCGGGTGGCTCGCCGCGCTCCTGCTTGTCGTGCTTGCGCTTGTGCGAGTCCATCTGCGACATGCCCACGACCGTGTGGCGGCAGCCCGGGTAGGTGCAGTGGAAGTGCGAGCACTTGAGCTTGTACTTGCAGTCGGGCACGGCGCAGTCGGCGCTCGAGCTGAACTGGCAGAAGCCTGCCGCGCTGATCACGTCCTGCTTGCCGTGGTGCTTGCGGTGCGCCGTCACCTTGGTGCTGTCGGTGCAGCGGAAGCGGCAGCGCAGGCAGTGGAAGTGCGTGCTGGAGCCGGAGAAGGGGCAGTCGGCGAAGTGGCAGCTGAGCGAGGCCTTGAAGCGCTTGAAGTCGTCCAGCACGAGGTTGTCCACGCGGTCATGGTGCTGCGCGTGCTTGTACATGTGCGTGCGTCCGCAGAACTTGTAGCCACAGTTCTCCCGCGTGCAGTGGTAGTGCGTGACCTTGAGCGAGAACTGGCAGGTCGGGTCCCTGCAGTCCTCGTAGAGGTCGAAGCGCCGGAAGCCCTCCAGCATCATGCCCTCGTCCAGCATTTTCCGCGAGGAGGCCGTCTTGCGCCGCTTGCCGAACGGCGACATGTCCTCGATGATCCAGAAGCGCTTTTTGGCCCCGGAGGCTGTGGGCATGGAGATGGTGTTCCCTGCGGAGGGGCCGGGGGAGGTCAGCGCGTGCCGGGGAGCCTTTCACACCCACGCAGGGTCCCCGGTTCCGCATGGTGGCCGGAGGGCAGCGCTGGGGGTCGGCTTCCCCAGACTTTGGGGGCCTCTCCCCCTCCCCCGAAGAACCAGGGAGCCCCCAGGCTTCCCCTTGCGTCATCCCCTGTCTTGTCTGCAGGACGACCACACAGGCATCCGCCCCTCGTGCGGCAGAGCAAGCAACCCGGGGGATGTGGTGGCCGCTTCCTGGCCAGTTTGGGTGGGAAGCGAGGACGCGTCCTGGCGCTAATTGAAGCTGAAGGGGGAATCTAGGTCGGCAGAGTGTAATTACCCAGCTTGGACGGACGCCAGGATGCCATCGCGAACCCGCCTCTAATGAGGGACAGGCGGGCTCCTTCTCCCGGCCGGCTAACCAGTCTCCCGGCTGCCCACCTGTCTGCACAGGGGACCTACCTACTTCCCGCAGGGATGCCCAGCGCCCTGGGGCTGTTTGGAGCCGTAACGCCCTGCCCTGAGGGACACCTTCCCTTTGGTGCCGGAAGATTCTTTCAAGTCTCGTGGGGGTCTTCTGCCCCCAGTAAGCCAGAAGAGGGCAGCTCTTCTGAGGGGCCGGGGCTGGAGCAGGGGCTCAGCCGGCAGACGGGTTCCCACCTGTGCCCTCCCAACTGGACCCAACAGCGCCCTGGACTTCGGATGGCTCACGGCCAGGGCTGCCTGGTTGAGAGTGGCCCTGCTGCTGTGGCGTGAGGGGACAGCAGCCCCTGGCACTGCGCAGGCAGCTGGGGGAGGGACAACAACCCTGGCATTCCCGGCCTCACACCCTAGGAATGAGAGAGAAACCTTCAGGGGCTGGCCCTACCCAGGGTCAAGGGTGGGTATTCAGGCTTCTCCCATGTGGCTGACCTGCTCAGCCTGCCCCAAACCTGCCTAGAATATCCGGCCTCCACGGCACCACTGTGCCGCGTCGTCCATTTAGGGAATGGACCCAGTCACCCCCCACCTTGGCAGGCGAAGAGAAACCAAGGGCGGCGACGGTGTGGGGGTGCGTGGCGCAGGACAAGGGAGGGTGTGGGGCCTGGAGATCCAGGTGAGTGAGAAGCGGCTGCTTTGGGTCTGAGGGCACAGGGCTCAGTGTGGTTATGGCAGTGACAGCCTTCCACAGGTAGAATTCCAGAAGGGAGACCTTCTGCCTCTCTGGCACAGCACTGGCCTGGCACTCAGCAGAACGTGAGGCAAAAATGAGTGAAGGAAGGTGCAGGGCTGCGGTGATGGCCACAGCAGAGGAGAGGGGCTGGCGGGTCCCAGCCCTGCGGGGCATCGGATATGCAGGGGTGGGAGGTGGGGTGGGAACGGAGGCACCCCTGCCATTGAGCACTGCCTGGGGCCTGAGCCACAGGGACTCCCTCTTCCTGCTTGGCTCCAGGGCTGGGAGGGGGTCAGGCTGGTGTCAGGGCCCTGCCTGGACCCAATGCTGAGCAGGAGTCCAGAGGAGCTGTCCTCGGGACAGAGACAGGGCTCTCTGGTTTTGGGGGGTGCTGGGCTGTGAGGGACGCAGGGTGGCCCTGTCCTCGCCCCAGCAGGTCACAGGAAAAGGTCAGGTCCCGGACCATGGCCTGGAGGGTCAGCGGAGGTGACACACACTGGCAAGAAGGCATGTGCGAGTTACCTGCAGCATCCTGAACTAGGGGGACGTCACTTTTTACTGGAGTTGCGGTGGCTGTGGCGGGCGGGAGGCGGGGCAGGCTGCCGACCGGGTGGCCCAGGCCCCGGGTGGCTCCGAGAGTGGCACTGAGCAGAGAGTATGAGAGACAGGGCGGAGAAAAGAGGCATGGGAGGGAGGGGAGGGGCGCCCGGAGCACGGCCGCTGAGAAGGATGGGGTCAGTGGGGGCTGTGGAGCCACACAGGCAGCCTCGTCGCCAGCGGCAGCAGGAGGAGGAAGAGGAGGAGGAGGAGGAGCCGGGCAGCCTGGAGAGGGTGGAGAAAAGCAAAAAAAAAAAAAAAAAAAAAAAAAAAAAAGAAAACCAAAACAAAGAAAAAACAAACAAAAAAGAACCAAAATGAGAAACCCGATGGCAGAAGCAAGTATGATATGAAAACATGTGGACAGATGACGAGCAGAGAGGCGCCACGAGAGAAAAGTGGGGAAGGAGGTGGCAGGAGGAGGAGAGAACGGGAGGGGAGGCTGCGCAGGGAGAGGCCGTGGTGGGCTCAGAGAGGGCCTGCGGCAGAGCCCGGCCCTGGTGCGACCCCAGTTTGGGGTCCAGGGACTGAGCTTCAGGACGATGGCAGAAGGGCCAGGAGGAAGGCCGCGTGCCCGGGACCCGGGCCCTGGCAGGTCCCCGGCCCCCCTGCCCTTGAGGACGAGCCCAGCTCCTCTCCTGGAAGCCGAAGCCAAGGGCTGAGTGCGGGCAGGAGGGGGCCTCAGTGACCTGTGTCCCCCAGACCAGCCGGCCCTACCGCACACGAAGGCTGGCTCTGTCCTCCTTTGAGGCCACGTGACCACGAACCCTACGATGGACCCTGCGGTGCCTTGGGCCGGAAGCTCCCGGCCCCCGAGGTCTCCTCCTGGCCCGCTGCTCGCGCTGTCGCCGCGCTGCCCGGCCGTGTGCTCACCTGCCGCCGTGCTCTCGTTGCCCACGGGGGTGCTGGAGCAGCTCCGGTCCATGGTGGGCGACTCAGAGGACACGGCGCCCGGGCTGCAGCCCGTGTAATCCATGTACTCATCGGTCTCCGTGTCCATCAGGCTCGGGGGGCCCTGAAAGAAGAAGGGGCACCCTGAGGAAGCTGGGCGGGGGCCACGCCGCCCACAGGGGGGGCAGGCAGGCTGTCCCTCCGGGCGGGACGCACCGACGCCTGCTGGGCACCCCGGGCGCTCACCTGGGAGGGGGGCACGCGATCGAAGTTCTTGCCCAGCATCCTCCGCATGTGCTTCCGGGCGTGGGAGGTCATCTGGTGCTTGAGGAGGAAGGAGAACTGGCAGCCCTCCCGGATGCAGTGGAAGTGGCTGTTCACCTGGTTGTACTTGCAGCCTGCGGACACAGCCCCGCCGGCCGTGAGCTTCCCCCGGCCGGTGCGCACAGCACCCACCGTGCCTCCTGGGCTCAGGGGAGTGTGGCCAACGGGCAGATGGTGTCTGGGGAGGGGACACGTGCCCCGTGGTGGCATTCCTCTGAGGAGGGCTTGTATCCACCCCACCCCCGGGGGAGGAGGTCCTAGGCTCTCCGGCTGGCCAGGGCCTGGGCCCACCCTCTCCTCTGGCCTGGCGTGGAGGCGGGTGACAGTGGCGAGGCTGGGCCCCATCCCCTGCCCCCTCTCGCTGAGAGGTCCCGGGGTTTCTGGGCGAGAGACCCTAATGACCCGTCCACCAGGTCGGCCCCCTCCCGGCAAGCCACCTGTCTCCACATCTCTGGGGAGCCCCGGTGCCTGCCCCCAGACCTGTGGGGACCTCTGCCCCGCCCCCACCCACCTCGGCTTCGCTCTGGGCTGAGAACAAACAGCGGGCAAGACTGCAACAGTGTCAGCAAAGGGCAGGTGAAGGCCTGCCCGTTGCCATGGCGCCGGGGCTGGCCAGGTGTCTTATATCATCCCCCAGCTTTGTTTGGCCCCAACTACCACCAAAAACACCCGAAGCTGAGTAAATACCGACAACTACGGAATACCCTGACCCCCGGAAACTGAGCCCAAGGACGGCACAGGCCACCAAATGTTGACATCTGTTGCCATGGTTACCAACCCTCTCCCAGGCCACGAATTCTTTTTGAATTAATACTCGAAAGAAAGGTTTGTTTCCTGTCTTTTCTGGCAGTCGCTGAGTATCTCACCCTGCCCCTGTGGAAGAAGGGTCAGTCTGCGGCAGCCAACGGCCCCACCTCTGCTCCCCCAAGGCCCTGCTGCTATGACCACCTGAGTCACAACAGGCCTGGCCTGCGGCCCAGCTGTCTGTGCCCGGCCTGCCTAGCTGCCACCTGCCTTCCAGTTTCCAGTTTTTTCCTGGCAGATCCCTACCCCACATCTGCAGGCCTGTGAACGTGTGGCTCCATCCTGAGGCAGGTGGGTGGGGTCTGCCCCCTGCCCAAAGGCATCCTCAGGGCACGCTGGGGCCAGGGAGCTACTCGGGAGGCCCCGGTCGGGTCCAGGGCTCCGGGCGGCTTCCCTGACGAGGGCCCAGCTCTCAACAGCAGACTCAGCTCCCTGGCATCTGCTTCGAAGTTCAGGGCCATCTGTGGCCTCCTTCCCAGCCCCATGGCCACCTCCTTCTGGGTCACCCCAGGTCACAGATGCTCTGGGCCGATCCACAGTGCACATGCTTGTCCTACCAGACCCCCACTGCCAAGCACGGTGCTGGCCAGAGAAGACACTCAAAACCCTGAGCTGCCACCACCCCCACCACCTCCCATAACAGCACGGAGCCCTGCACACCGCTCTTCCTCGATAGGTATCTGCTGAATGAGCAAACAAACCAGGGGCCGTTCTGGAAAAGCCCTTGCAGTTAGAGCCATGGAAAGAGATCCCAGAGTGAGGAACATCAGGGGCTCCTATGTTATCCGCACTCCCTCTTGAGAGAACGGGAAAGAGCACCGAGTCCAAGGCCTGACTCTGATGACGAGGCCCCAGGCATTTTCCCCGGATGTAGGCGGAGTGCTCTGAGTCACTCACACCCCTATTCCTGGGCTCTCCGTGTTTTGACAGTTTCCCCTGTTTGATGATGCCTGGCCTGTGACATCAGTGGCATTTTTAACACAACACAGAGTCTGACGTGCAGGGACAAGAGGTGGGTACCAGGAGAGGCGGCCGGGGCCACCAGAGCCACAACCTTGTCACCTGCTGCAAGTCTCTCCCCCCAACCGCGGCCCTCAGTACCTAGCCTGCCACACTCCTCGCGCTTGGTAAAGTACTTGAATCCGTTGGCTGCCCGCCGCTCGGCTTTCTCGTGCTTCTTTATGTGCCACGGCAACTTGGTGGTGATGTTGGTCACAAAGTAGCAGCCGGTCCGGAGGCAGTGGTAGTGTCCACGCATCCGGAACTCGCAGTGCTGCAGGGAGGGACGGGAGGGTCAGGGCCAGGCTGACCACTTCTCTGAGCTCCCACCGGGCCCATGGCTCTGGGAGTGGCAGGCCCTTTGTTCTTCCGTGCTCAAATCAGAAAACACAACCGGGTGTAGGCCTTTCGCGTGTTAAAAAGCGGTATGTCCCTTTTGGAATCTGACCAAAACATCCTACCTGGTAATCGTGCCACCCATTTCTAATTCCACACCCAGAGCAGACATCACTAATCTATCCTAGCACTCCTCTCTGGAGGCTTGGCCTTAGGCAGACATCACTAATCTGGCCTAGCACTCTTCTCTGGAAGGCCCAGCTCTAGGATCAGACTCCTTCTCAAGGCACTCTGCCAAACAGCCCCTACCAGTCTTGGGGTAGGCCTTTATGGTGAACTTGATCTGCCCTTCCTTTCTGGGGCACGGACAGTTCAATCTCTAGCTGTCCAATGGGCCTATTTTAAAATTCTAGGCCTCTGGGGAAAGGGAGCATAGTTCCAGGATGGGCAGAATGATGCCAAGTGCACAGAGAGTTGGGATGAAATGACAGACGTCACCAACTGAGCACCAATCTGGACCCCTGCCCAGGGGCCTCCAGGGGCCCAGGGGCAAGACAGTGCCCTTTCCAGAGTCTGGACGAGGCCAATTCAAAACGGGCGTGAGAGACGTAATGACTCCCTGCCGGGAGGAGCCAACCCCGGGCCCCGTGCCTCCCTGCCCCCCACCCAGGGCCCCAGGCCCCCGCCCGCACCTGTCCCCGGGGCTGACCTGGTTGGGACAGAGACACTGAAGTGAGTAGTACGCAAACTGGTCTCGCACGTTCACCAGGTTGTTGTTGGGGTTGATGTGGTCCAGGCAGTGGGACTCAGCCTTGCCGGAGGTTTTGCAGACGTACTTGCAGTTCCCGAAGAGACAGTGGAAGTGGAACTTGTTGGCGTACTTGCAGTCCGTGGCGAGGCAAGGATCGCTGGAAGGAAACCACAGCCCAGAAGGTCATTGGCGTTCCCAGAGCCCTCCCCGCCGACATCCTGACATTGGTCGAGTTGGAGTTCTGCTCCCTAATCCCCTGCGGTGTGGCCCAGAGGAATGGCCCCCGGGGCTGCCTTCCTGCTCAACAAGTGGCCTCGGCCAGAGGAGACTACAGATCCCAGCAAGCTTTCCTGCCTTCTTTTTGGAGCTCGGCTGGTGCAGAAAGGGTTGCGGTGTGCAGCCTGCCCAGAGCATTGCATGCTGGGACACGTAGTTTCCATGGCCACACCTCAGGATTATAGATAAGGCGGCTGCAATAACCTCTTGGATGTGAAAATGAGAGATGGCGTTGCCAGCCCTGGCGGGGCGCCAGTGAGGGCCTGGCTGGCGTGGCACAGGCACTGCCCTGGGTGTGGCTGACTGACAGGGTGCAGATGGGTGGGCAGCCCTACCCGGAAGCTCTGCTCCCTCGGGGCCCTGGCCAGGGGGAGTGTGCGCCTGGTGTCAGGTCCCGCTGAGGCGCACAGCTGCCGGGGCCCCCAGGGTCACCTCGGGGCTGAGGGCTCCCGCCCACTCAGAGAACCTCACCGGCCGCCTGAGTGGTGGGGCTCGGGGGTGGGGGGTGGGGGGTGCTGGGCTGAGCCCCCATGCCGTGAGCGGCAGCCCTGCCCCACGGCCTGCCTCCTGGGCTGCAGACAGGTGTGGAGGACGCCATGCCCCGGCCTTCTGCCCTGGCTGGTGCCACAGCTGCCGCCACGGTGGCCCCGGGGTGGGAATCCGACCGCGCTGGGGAGACTAAGAGCGCTGCCGCCGTGGGGAGGCGGAACGGAACAAGGGAAGCTCGGGGAGGGACGGAGAGGAACGCAGGTCCCCTTCCATGCCAGAGGCCCAGCCCCAGGTGCCCAGAGAGGGGGGACAGCTGCCACTCAGGCGGTACACGTTCACATCCAATTTATTACTTTTATTGAGAACAGGAAGCCGCACACATAACGATACAGAGTCACCGTTCTCGCCGCAAGGCGCCACCACCATCCAGTGAGGAAGGTCCCTTCCACCCCTGAGAGCTCAGACCACTGTGCAGACGGGTGTGGGCCTGGAGTGGAGGCCTAGCCCCCTCGCCCCCCACCCATGACTTCGCTTGCTCTGCAGAGACTTATCCATGGGTGCAAGGCCCAGAGTGAGATGCAGCCTTCCTTGCCAGGCGAGGCCCAGCACTCCCGGCCCACCTAAGCTGGTCCTCACAGTGCCAACGCTGCCCCTCTGGAACAGCGGCCCCTACCACCACCACCTTCTCCCACCCCGGCTGCCTGCTTGGGGAGCAGGCAGTGAGGCCAGAGCAGCAGCTTCTTTGGCTAGAAGGACAGCGTCCGATGACCGTGTCCCAGAGAGGCTGGGGACAGCCCGGGCTCACTGCAGGGTTAGGAGCAGCACCTCCTTGGCTGCCCTTGCTAGCACCTACTCCCGAGACACGCGGGGGACACGGGACTCCCGGCTCATCGAGGGACTCACTTCTCCTGGAACTGGAGGAATCCGGGTTTGACCTGGGGCTTGGCGTTTTCTAGAGAAGTCGTTGCCAAGGGCGAAGTGGGCAGGTGAGGCACTGACGCTGGAATCTGAGGCATCTGGGGTATGGTGGAAGCCAGCTGCTTCCAGGCGAGCAGCGTGGGGGTGGAGGGCACGGCAGCCGGGCTGGGAGTGGGACCCTCCAGAGAGGCTGTGGTGACAGGAGGCGCTGGAGGGGACGAGGGGGCCAAGGCAGGTTTGGTCTCCGCAGCCGAGGTGGGGAAGGGAGCCTCTGCGTTTCCCTTCACTGCTCCTCCCTCCGTCCGGAAGTGGAAGCTGCAACAGGCAGAAACAGTGGCTCAGTGGGGAGGAAGAGGGCCCTGCGCAGGTAGCCTTTCCCTGGATGTTACCCCATCATGAGCCTAGGGGCCCAGTGTCCCTACATAGTCCCCAGCAGCAGGTGTGATGCCACCAGGAGGGAAGGACTGAGAACTGCTGTGTCCTCTGGTTCTGAACTTGGGCTCCTGGCTCAGCCCTAGCTATGTCTTCCTGTGATCTTCCTGCTGTGTCTGTCCCTAGCTCCTTCCTACACAGAGCAGGGGACAGGGACAGCAGGGGGCATGAATCTGTGCTTCCAGAATCTGCTCTGAGAATTAAAGGTGGGTCTCGCTCGGCCCTCAAAGATGGCTCTTCTGCAGACTAACGGCTGCCTGAGCAGTGAGTGGAGCCTGAGCTGGGGCCCGGCAGTAGCCAAGGTCTGTGTTAAATGTCTGCAAGTTCTGGGTTCAATTACAAGAGGCGGCTGGCCTGCTGCTTTTCAGCTCAGTGGGTTTGCAAATTAATTTCATTATTTTTAGGTCAAAGAAAATCTACAAATGCAATACTGTGGCTTGGAAAAGGCCTTCATCTAAGGTCTCTGCCTGGGTCAGAGTGGGGTCTTTCCAGCTGGCTCTGCAGGGAACATCTGTGATAGAGCTGCTGGCCACACTGGTGGGGGAGGGGCGTGGGGGGTGGGCAGAAACAGCTGCTCAGGGTCTCTAGGTGGAGCCTGGACAGGCTCAGAGGACCCCACCAGGCGGCTGAGCAGGTGGAAGGATGGGGAAGCCTGCCTTTTTCAGGCAGTACCTTCTAAGAAACTAGCTCAGCTTCTGAGTTTCGGTGCGAGCAGCATACGGCGCCTGCCTGGAAGGCAGCTAGAGACCCAGGCAGCCCCCAACCCCACGCAGCCTGGAGCCAGGCTGGAATGAAAGGGGCTGGGTTTCCACGTGCCCTGGGGACCCCCACTCACTTGGCATGCTTGATGGCCCCGTCCAGGGTGCTGAAAAGCGCGCCGCACTCCTCCACCACGCAGTGGAAGTGTGCCTTGTGAAGGAAGTCACACTGGGCGTCACAGAAGTCCTTGGTGCCAAACCTGGCCAGAGGAAGCAGCGGTCAGAGGAGACCCTGGGGCACTGGCCACCACGACGGGTGGGCGTGGCCCTTCCTGCTCCTTTGCTGTGCCAGGGAGCCCCTCACCTTCGAAGGTACACCTTCCAGGGCTCGGACAGCTTCTCCTGAACCAACGCCTTCACAGCCTTGCCCAGGAAGGGCGAGGACTCCACGGCGGGGCTGCCCTCCGCTTCTGTCTTGATGTTCAACAGGCTGCCAAGGTTGGGGTTGCCCTGAGACATCTGCAAAGAGAACAGGGCCGGTGCTTGGGACTGGCTGGCCGCCGTGGGAGCAGCAGCGGCTCTGGGCCGCCTGGGCCTCTTGCAATGCACTAGAGCAGTGGAGAGGAGAGGGCGCCTGGCCCTGCACAGCTCTGGCCACAGCCGAGTCCGCTCTGAATGGTGCTGCCCAAGGCAACGTGGAGATGCCACGGCTCCTCCACACAAACCCCGTGGTGCTAAGATCCATCACTCAAGCTAAGGCCGGGACTCTGGGCACACACCAGACCAGCTTTCCCCAGACTTTGTGGCTCCCTGGTTATTTTCCTGCCAGGTTTTCAAAAGAAGTGCGGAGGGGGGGGGGTTAACCCCTATGAATTCCTTGAGAACAAGAGAAGGCACACAAAAGAGGAGCAGAGAGGGAGGGAGGGAGGCTCAGGGGGTGAGATCAAGATGGCTCAGGGCTACTGGGCCAGGAGGGGGAGTGGCGAAGGGGAGCCTGTGTGAAAGCTTGACCCACATGGGGTGTGGGGCCCCAACATGAAGGAACGAGGGGGTACAGGGGCCAGTGACACCCTCCCCCACCGCCAAGAAGGGAAAAGTAGAGCAGGAGAGCAAGGAAGGAGAGAGGAAAGGTAGAGGGCGCAGGGCCCTCGGCAGAGGGTGGCGGGAGGCTCCTTCCCTGCCAAGGGCCCTGCGGGACCCCCACCCGTGAGGTCCGGCCCAGGCCCAGCTCCCCCAGCAGTCACTTGTGTATGGTAACCAAATTAATCTTGCTGTAGTCAAATTTATCATGTGAAGGGGGGAAATATATTTGAGATGATGTATAATTTACAAAGACCCTGCATTATTTAAAATAAATATTCTGGAGCGACCTCTGTGGAAGGCGTCCGAGACCATTACTCAACCCGAAAAGTGGAAATTGATGCTTTGCTCCCACTTTAGTGCCCCTCCCCCACCCCCTTTTAAACAAACAAAAAAATATATAAAATAAATAAATAAAATTAATAACTGAGAGGGAAAGAAGTTAGAGGGCTCTGGAAAAGCTTTTGGAGCCCTCCATCTGAAGGGAAGAAAAGGGTGTCAGAGGCTGGAATATATTTCTTCAGCCAGTTCATTAAATTAATTTGTAAGCAGTGGCTCTGAAATTATATCCGATGAAAAATGGCCTCAAAATTTAAATGGTACAAACTCATCTTATTAGAGGCAAAACATTAAAAAACAAACACCTCCCCCCCACCCCCCAGCATAGCTTTAATTTCTCTGGGTGGGGGAGCGGGAGGCGTGTGATGGATGGTTCTTACCTTATTCATAAGCGAGGATAAAAGAGACGAGTTTGCCGGGACTGCATGGCCATTTGATTCATTACTGGAACACACAAACCAAGGGGCCTTAGCTCAGACGTCCGTGGGACTCAGCCCAGACACTCACCCTTCCCTGCCCATCCCGAAGGCCCCGGCCCCGCCTGCTACATCTGCCTGGGCTGGAGGAGGACCCCCCCCCCCCCCACCGGGAGGGCTTGGCCCCTGGCCTCGGTGGGGTCTGGCTCCAAGGGCGCTGTCCCCAAGAGCCTCCTGCAGTGGGGCAGAGCTGGTGGGGTGGGGGCCTGGCCTCGCCTCACCTGGGCTCCTTCACAGTCAGGTCTAAACTGCGGTCCTGGGAGACCTCGTGGGGAACCGGGGCGCCAGCGCTCTCACCGGGCTCCTGCTTCACCGGGGCCGGGGGGAACCTGGCGGGGGTGGCCTGCTGCCCGTTTCCTACAGGGGAGGGGAGGGAAGATGGTGTTAGAGGGGCTGCGGGCTTCCTATGGACACAGACCGGAACCCCCCACCGCCGGAAGGGAGGGCAGTGGGCTGGGTGGGCCGGGGGCCCCAGGGGAACCCTGGCTGCTGGTCAGCGATTCTCCCCACTGACATGATCGCTTGTGACGCTTACCCCTGTGTGGCAATTCTTCAAGTGATAATTATTGCAAAATTATGTCAAAGTTGTCCCAGCTCAGGGCCTCCTGGAGGAGAAGGGCGGGAGGCTGGGGAGGGGGCTGGCACGGGGGTGGGGGCCCTTCATTTTCTCCACCGACTGTCACAGTCAATTTGTGGGGCTGCCGCTTAGGCTTTTATTAAAGACTCTGTTAATGCTGAGGGAAAGTGGCAGATCTAGACTGGGAGCTGCGCCCCTCCGCAGGTCCCCGGCCCACTGTTGCCGGGGCGACGGCCCTGCCTTCCACTGAGCATGCCTAGGAGGGGCATCTGCTGTGTCAGGGCGATGGGAGCTGACAACCAATCAGAGCAGTTCAAACTGTGTGACCTCGCCCGTCAAGCTGTCCAGGGCAGGGATGTGAGGCCCACTGTGGCCGGGCTGGGCTGGACCAGGGTCTGGGTGGGAGCTGGCGGGGTGTAGCCATTGGGGGAAAGTCTGGAGCTCGGTAGGCAGATGATTTGGGAGGCCAAGCAGAGCAGGGGCAAAAAAAGTTGCTGACAGGAACGTGTCCACCGAGCCCTTCTCCACAATCCCCAAGTGGCTGAAATATTAATCTGCCCCAAGGCGCTGCAGCTGACAGAAAGCTGCTTCACAGACAGCAAGTGGCATTTGATTAAAAAATAAAGGAAAACGCCCCCCCCCCCCCCTTCCCTTGACCTTTCTTTTGGGGGAAGGAGATTTTTCTAATGAAAAAGAAAGAATTTGACAGTCTGGCCCCTGAGCTCAGTGTGGTCCTAAAGTGGGGCCCACCCCGGCCTACAGGCGTCTGGCCAGAGGCACAAGGCCCCTGGGCATCCTGCCATCCCTCTCACACCTGGGAATGGAAGGCGGGTCACTCCACGCTTCCAGCTGATGGGAACGTCCCACTCGGGACAGGATAGTAGCTCCCCGAAGTCACTTGCCCAAGGTCCCCTGGGAAATGGCCCAGCCCCCTTGCCAAGCACTGGCAGGCCCTCTAGGAGACCTGGGCAGACCCCTGGGCTAGGCCGCAGGGACCTTCCGTCCTGCCTGGTCTTGAGACGGTCTCACAGCAGAGTAGGGCACGCGGGTTCAGGAGCCGGACCGCTGAGGTCCAAGTCTGGACTTCGCCGCCTCCTGGCTGCGTGCCCGGGATCAGGCTACCCTCACTGCCCCATCAGTACCACCAGGCAGGACTCTGCTTCCCTGCCGTGTCTCCAGCACCGCTAAGGCACGTAGCCCTCAGTAAGCACAGCGGTTGCTGAATGAGTGGCTAAAGTGACAGCTGACTGTTCTCGGCTAAGTACCGAGAAGGGGGAGAACAGGGAGAGGGGCCAGGTAAACAGAAAGCCAAAGAATTCCAGAGATCCGAGAAAACATTTAAAAAGAGTAGAAAACTTGAGAAGGAGAACCGCTCCCCGTGGTAAGCCAGAGGGAGGCCAGAGGTGGGACTCGGGAGGTCTGGCTGGGTTGTCCAACATGGCAGCCGCTGGCCAGGTGTGACTAAGTTAAAGGGATTCCAACCAAAATCCGGTTCCTTGGTCACAGAGCCAAGTTCAGGCACTCAACAGTCACAGGTGACTAGTGGCTGCCATACCAGACAGCACAGGACAGAACAGTTCTGTTCTGGCAGAAAGTTCTGCCAGACGGCGCTGACGGAGAGGGAGACACTGGAAGGTCATCCTCGGCCTCGAGGGGCCGGCCGGGTGTAAATCCCAAGCATCCCTGAAGTGCGGCCACCTGCTGCTTGGCTGGACCCATGCCCCTCCAGGTGACACGGGGGGCCCTAGGGAGGCGCAGGGACTCCTCTCATCAGCGGCTGGACTTGCGATGAGGGAGGGTGTGGAGTGGTAAGGACCAGCTGCCCCGGGACACACAGGCTCCCAGTGAGGCCAGGCCTACGGCCCCCACTTCACAGATGAGAGAACAGAGATGCCTCGGGTGGGGTGGGCAGGCCAGAACAAGGGGGCCCCATTAGCAAACAAACAGGATGGAGGCAGAGACCAGGCAAAGATGGGGGCTGGGGGCGTGGGGGACGTGGGTGCAGGAGTAGAAAGACGCCTCTCCAACACCCCCCCGACTCTGCTCTGCAATCTGAGGCGGCGGGCTCCCGGGGTCCGTAAGCCACTCGTTTCCTGGGCAGTGCCCGGCCTGCTCACCTGGGTCAAAGGTGGCAGAGGGCTTGAGGGCAGCCGCGGCCAGCCTGGCCATCATGGGTGAGATGAGGCCCTTGCTCGCCGAGATCCTCTCCATGATGGAGGCGGGGGGCACCGGGACAGAGGTGGCGGCGGCCGGGGCAGAGTCACCGGCTCCCGAGGCGGCCAGGGTGGGTGTGTCGGCTGCCGCCGAGGCCACTGCCCCGGACGACATGGAACCCAGGAGGCCGGGGGCACCCACGGGCAAGGAGGCGCTGCCCCGGCTCGGAAGGATAGGGAAGTAGGGGGCGGCGGTGGGCAGGCCTGAGTTGGAGAGGGCCAGCGCCAGCGGGATGGAAGCGGGCAGGCCCTGGGACAGCAGCCCGGAGATCTTGCTGTTGGGAGGCTTGGCGGCACCGGGCGTGGCCTCGGCGGCGGCGGCGGCGGCGGCGGCGGCCAGGGAGGCGGAGGACTGCTGGCTGGTCGGGGAGGCGCTCAGGCTGGAGTTCTTGCTGCTCAAGGCCGAGAAGTCGACCAGGTCGTCGTTGCTCGACTCCTCGTGCTCCGTGTCCTTGGCGCCCAGCAGCGAGGACGGCAGCCCCAGCGCGCCCGAGGAGCGGACGTGCCTGCGCTCGTGCTTGCGCTTGTGCGAGGTCATCTGGCTGGTGGACGTGAAGGTGAAGCCGCAGCCGGCGCGGATGCAGTGGAAGTGGTTGGTGGCCTTGCTGTACACGCAGCCCTCGTACCTGCACTCCTCGTACTTGTAGAACTTCTTGAAGCCGTCCTTGGCATACGCGTCATCCTTGATGTGATAGCTCTTGTGCTTCTCGATGTCACACTTGTTCTTGAAGGTGAATGTGCAGCCGGGGCGCCTGGACGGGACACGGCAGGGGCTGTCGCAGGGCCTCGGGGAGGAGGGGGCGCCCGGAGGTGGTCCTGCCCGGCTTCCGCCTCGGCCCCGGGGGTAGACCCGGAGAACCCCCCGGGGCGGCCCCCCTACCCTTGTGCCTGTGGCCTCCGGGAGGCGGGACCCCGAGCCCCGCACGGGCCCACTTCCCCACCTCCCCTCCCTCCCCCAGGCCAAGCAGCCTCCCTGGTGGGCTCCCCGTTCACCTGCAGTGGAAATGCGTGGTCTTCTGCCCGTAGAACTGGCAGTCGGCCGTGCCGCAGTCCTCGGTGGCTCGGAAGCGCTGGAAGCCATCGTTGATGAGCTGGGTGTTCTTCTTGTGGAAGTTCTCGTGGGTCATCACATCTGACGTGCTCGTATACACCTTGTTACAGCCCACCTGCAGGGGCAGAATGGCCGTCAGGGGGACCCAGGCCAGGCACGCCCGGGCCAAGGTCAGAGCCGCGGTTCTGCTGGCCACAGACCCCCCTGCTCAGGGGAGCTTCGGCCCCTGTAAACATCCAGCTGGGCTGTGGAGAGCCTGTGAAGATCCCCCCCGGGCCCTGCAGGCCTGGGTTGTGCCGAGGGCTGGGTTGTCTGCACGGACTCCGGGCACCTCCTGGCACAGCCAGGTGTGGGAGTCCCGTTCCGCCGAGGGGCGTTTGGGGTCCTAATCCGTGGCTCTGTCTCGAAAACCCCTGGCAGTGGGCAGGGCTGGGCCTGGGGGCCCGGCAGTCACCTTCGGCCCCGGGACTCGTTCAGTGGACACTTCCTGGCACAGGGCCCTCCCCACCCCACCCTAGCTGGGCCAAGGCAGGCAGCGTTGCCATATTGAGTAAAAACCCGTGGAATCTGAGCACTCTTGAAGGCTGGGCCGTGCCAGTGTCTGCACCATCTCAGGGCCCGGAGAGAGAGCCCCCCTCTCCTCCTGGCCCAGGTTGTTCCACGGAGCCCATAACAACCCCCTGACAAATGCCGGGGGAGGCGCAGCGGCTGCTATTTGCAACCCCGAGTCGCTCCCCCTGGACCTGACACCTTGAAAAAGCCCAGACTCGGCGTGGCATTAAAACAGAGAATTAAACAAAAACCTCCTCAGGAACCATTTGCAACGCTCCCCTTGGTGTTAAAGCCTGAGAAATGCTGGTCTGTATAAACAGCTCCCTGAATTTCACCCGCACCAAGTATGGCCATGGGGACGGCCCCGCCCTGGCCCTGCCAGACACCGCCCGGGCCCGCGCCCCCAGGACTCCCTGCGCTCGCCTGCTGCCCCCCGCAGCCCCCCCGCTGCCCCCGAGCCAGGCCCCGGCCCCTGGGTGGCCCTGCCCCTGGCACCTGCATGCAGTGGTAGTGGGTGCTCTTCCCGTTGAGGTGGCAGCCGTGGTAATAGACGCTGCAGTCGTCCAGCGGGCTGAAGCGCATGAAGCCGTGCTGCAGGGAGTTGTCGCGTTTCTTGTGCATGTTGTAGTGCCGGATCACATCCTGCTTGCTCGTGAACCTCTGCAGGAGAGCACGAGTTGGCGGGGCCCTGGGCCAGCCCCTCGCCCAGAGCCCTGCCCCCCCCCCCCCGCCCACTTGGCTCTCCCTGGAAATAATCCTGCCTGGGGTCGAGGCAGCCGGGTGGCGCCCAGGCCAGCACAGAGGACCACAGACAGAGCAATTCCAAGTCCCAGAGCCACAGGGCCTTCTGTGACCTCCCGCCGGGCTCCCAGCGCTCACGCCCAGGAGCAGAGGAGATGAATCTGGCCAGGCCCTTAAGGCAGCGGCTCTGACAGGGGACAGCTCATTTTGCCCGGTGTCACCTATGGGCTGTGCCGCCAGCTTGGGCTCCCTGATGAGCACGAGGGGACAGCCCTGGGCACACAGGCTGCGTTTCCCTCTTGTTCACCTGCTCTGCATTTATCACAGGTGGCTTTGACCATAAATGACGATCTCTCTGCCCCTCAGCGTTATCATCTACTAGCCGGGGCAGGAGGACACCGAGAAGAGTCAGACAAGGTGCCGAGGCCCTGGGGTGGGGCTCCCAGGGAAGGGAGCTTGAATGATCATCCCAGGGAAGCAGGTGGCTCCAGACCCTATCAAATGCCTGTTAGGCTAATAGTTTTCTGGGTTCTCTGTCTGCGTGAGTTAAGCTCAGGCGGCCTCGGCAGAACTGAACACCCCGGTCCCACTTCCGAGAGGCTCCCCCACCGATGGGCCAGCCCGCAGGGGCGGGGCTGGTGCCCACAAGGCCCTACCTGGTAGTTGCACTCCGGGTCAAGGCAGTGGTAGTGCTCACGGTACTGGTAGGCGCAGTGGATATGGCCACAGTGCTGACTGCCGGAGAACCTGCAGAGAGGAAGGGTGGGCTCAGCCCTCTCTGGGCAGCAGCCCCAGGGAGGACTCTTCCCTCCCTTCCCAGGGAGGACTCTGCTGCCAGAGCAGCAGAGAAAATACGTGCCCATACCCTGGGGAAGCGCTGCTGGGGTTCAGGGGCCCTGAGCCCTTTGTAGGGGTATGGGGGGCAGAGGTGGTGTGTGGGGGTGAAGTGGCAGAGGCCAGGGTGAGTGATCAGGCCTGTTGGGAATCCTAGGACCACTGAACTGCAGACCTGTCCTGCCTGCCTCGGGAATGAGGACGCAGTGAGGCACACAGGCCTGGCACCAAGGTGGGGAGGAAGAAGCTGGGGCGGGCCAGACGGCAGAGCAGAGACAGGGAGGAGGCCTGGGATGGGATGGGATGAGGCGGTGAGGGCAGGAGCCCCCAGGGTGACTGCCTTTCCTGCAGGTGCCGCCCACCGGCCCCGCACCCAGAGTGAAGCCAGGTGCTGGAGACACTGGCTGGGCCAGCCCAGGGCCCCGCTGCTGAGAGGTGTTAAAGCCTCTCTCTGTCCTGGGCTTTCCTGACACTTGAAACAGCCCAGGGTTATGAATTTTTAAAGCACAGCATCTGTTCGGCTTCCTGCGGCAGGGAGTGAGCTCTCCAGCCAAGTCCGCAGTCAGGAGCCCCATGCTGCCTGGCCACTGCCCGCCTCCCAGAAACCCCGACCTTCTCCAGGCCCCAGTGCCACTGGGCTGTGGTTCTCAGGCTCGGCGATGGCCACCCTGGGGAGGCGGCTCTGGGGAGAGCCTGCTAGGACAACTGGGGAGGAGGCTGGCCTCAGACTGTGGGACACGCGCGTGCGCGCGTGCGCGCGCACACACACACACACACACACACACACACACACACAGAGACAGAGGGAGAGACCCCTTTGTAAAGGGAGAACCACTTGCAAATAAATATTTAAGCTGAAGCTGCCAAAAATGCCATCTGCTGAGGCACTAATAATAATGATAATAATAATAATAAAGAGATTGGAACAAAGCTGAAAAGACAGAGAGGGACAGGAAGAACCTAGAAGATCAGCAGAAAGACACAGGCTGGGGCACAGCTCCCTCCTTGGGCTGCCCCATCGGGTGTTGGCAGCAAGGGGCCGGATTTGGGGGCCTCCATCGAGGCGAAGGTTCTTTACCCACCCATCGTGTGGCCTTAAAAGTGTAAGAGGGCAGGTCTGCGGTCAGGAGGTGAGGGTCAAGGCCCGGTCCAGGGAGCACACTGAGGCCATGTCAGGGAGGATAATTGCGCGCACCTCCTCTCATCCCCAGCGGCTCCACGTTGGCCTGAATCCCACCCCAGACTCTGTATGAGCCGTGGCGGGAGCTCAGTGCTCACCTGTGGCCAGGCCCCGCCATCAGGCCCCTTTGGGCACCCTGGCCCTGCCTAGGGTACAAGCTGCTTCAGGGCGTGTGGCCCAGGTCACATCGAGGGGCAGGGGCTGAGATGGGACGCAGTCCCTCCGGGGAATTTGAGGGCATGGGCGCATAGAGGTAGGGAAGCAGTAGGCACTCGGGCACTAGCGGTCAGATGGGCCTGTGGTCCCAGGGTCCCCAGGCATTCCTGGCCCCATCCCACCACCTCTCCAGGGCAGTCTCCTCCCCAGGGGCCTACCTGGCAATATATTTCTGGTAAATGTTTACATCTTCGGTGACAGCTGGTTTATCTGTGGGCAATCCGTTCCTGGCGAGAGACACACAGGGCACAGCCGATTAGCCGACAGGGGTAACTTCACACCCCAGAAGTGTCTAGGGGGCAGCTCCCTGTCCTGGGGCCCTGGCCCTTCCCTCTCTTGCTCTGTTGTGCTCTGAGGCCCTCAAGGTGGGACTGGAAAGCCCTTTGGCGGAACCTTGGCACAGGTTCAATTAGCCCAACTCCGGCAAGGGCCGGGCCATCCCAAGCTGGCACGGGCCTAGCTAGGAAGCCTTGGAAGCTGGGGCCTGGCCCCCGTTGCATACCGGGAGTCAGCAGGATGATGGGAAGACCACTGGGGAAGGGGCAAGAGAAGGTGGGGTCATTTGATCAGAAAAGGCCCCCTCCCAGGCCAGTGGGCAGCTCCCTAGATCTGCTCCAGGTTTTTGGCTCTGCCTCAAGGGGGAAGGGAGTGTGGGAACCCCACACAATTGATCCACAGATAATTTGACCGTTGCCTGGGGGTTAGCGATGAGTGTGCCCCCAGACTCCTGCCTTCTCTTGCTGCCTTCCCCACGGCCCAGGCCCTGAACCTGGGAGCCACGGTGACGGGCTTGGAGCCCAGAGCCCTAACCCCAGACTAGGGCTTTCCCAGCCAACCCCAAGGCTGCATTTGAGGCACAGAAAGCCTGTCACTGGCAAATGGGGGTTACAGCAGTCCTTGGTACGCGTGTTAGCAGATGAGTACATGCATGGGAATATCTGACGTGTGATGCACGTGTGCACACTGCAAGATGTGTCGCGTGCTGGGCGTGGATGGTTACGCAGGCCGTGTGTGTGTGTGTGTGTGTGTGTGTGTGTGTGTACCTGTGTGCACACGCAGGCATGCGCATGTGCAGAAGCATGTGAGAGCCAGTGCGTGTATTAAGCTGGCCGCATGGTGGACGTGTACAAGTACGAGTGGATGCGTCCACGAGCATGGGCTTCAGGGGCAGAGAAGTGGCTACTCTAGTCCCGAGTTCAGGATGGGCGTCCTTACTTGACAGTGGAGACGGTCCCCGTGGTGATGGAGTCTGTTTTGGAGAAGGTCGACTTCAGGTACTCGGGAGTGTTGAAGGGCAGGGAGGCAGATGGCTCGGGCCCTGGCCCAGGGGCGCTGGGAGCACTGGGCACGCTGGGGAGGGGTGCAGGAGCCAGGCTGGGGGTGGGCGGAACCTTGGCAGGGCCCGGCTTCTGGATGGCCCGGACGTCGTACTTGGAGGGGCGCCCCACCTTGCCCGTCTTGAAGGCAATGGCCCCACCCATGTCGGGGCTGCCCTCCCCGGGTTTGAAGAGGTGCAGGTACTTGACGTTCTCCAGGTCGTACTTGGATGGCTTCTTGTAGGTGCTCCCGTTCTGGGGCCGCAGGTTCTCGCCCGTCTTCAGTTTCTGGATGAAGAAGTCGTACTTGGAGGTGCGGGCCACCAGGCCCTGCATGGGAACGCTGCTGTGTGAGGGCAGGGGCAGGATGGTGGCCTTGGTCTCCAGGTGCGCCGTGCTGCTGGGCAGCCGCAGGCCGGGCAGGGGCCCCACCACGTCCTTGCCCGCCCGCTCCTCGGCCTTGGTGCTGTGGGCCGGCCAGGAGAGCTGCTCGCCGGCCTTGAGCTTGCGGATGTACTCCTCGTATTTGGAGAAGCGCGCCCGCTTGCTGAGGGCATCCTCGGAGGCGGGCAGCATGGAGGAGGTGGCCACCTCGGGGGTGGAGCCTGCGTGCAGCTTCTCGAAGCTGATCTTCCTGGCCAGCTCGTCCCTCGTGTTCTGGTCATCGTAGCCAAACATGCCGAGGAACTCGGTCATAGTGGAAGCCGCGTAGTCCCGGAGTGAGGAGGCCTCTCCTGTAGCAGTGGGGAGAGGCCGGTCACCTCTGGGAGGGAGCAGGGTAGCCAAGGGACAGGGGGCACCCCCTCCCCGTGAGCCCCCACCCACAGAGGGAGGAGGCTGGCATGGGGAGGGGGCGGAGCACGACATGATCTATGGACATTTGGCTCACTTGTTAGGTTTTACGACTCTTAAATTAATTTGTTTAAAAAAAAAGTAATTAATACCGGGGTAAAATAAAACGAGTTCATCAATGCCAGGAAAATCAATTTCCTAAATGTTCTGGCCGATGGCTTTTCAGTACATTAAACAAAGTTTCATAAATGTCTCCTCTCTCTCGCCTTGGCCTAATATGAAAGAGAAGTCACTTTACTGGAAGTAAGGCCAGATCCCAACCTGCCTCCCAAGGGTGGGGTGACACGGGGGCTGGGGACAGGTAAGGATGTGGGCCGGCAGCTAGGCAGTCAGGAGGGACCCCAGGGGCTGAGGGTTGGGGGTGGGCCTGGCTGAGCCTGTCTGGAGGACTCTCCCTGACCCCCACAAGCAGACACACAGGCCCTCATCCCTGGGAGGTAGAGGGCTTACCCCAGGCCTCACCAGGACCTGGCCCCCCCCCCCAGCCCCACCGGCCCCCCACATACTGAGGGTCCCAGACCACAAGGCTGAGGGGGCAGGGGCCTTGCCAAAGCAGTTGTTCAGACTCACTCGAAGCCCCTTGCCCCAGCCAAGAATTATGACGTGAGGAGTCCTACGAACCTCCCCGTCATCCTCGTGCCCGCTCATTAAAGGTGGCCACCCTGAGGAGAGTCTGCCTGGGAGGCTGGCCCTACTGGCCCCAGGCAGGGGACCGAGGACAGCCTGTCTACAGGCTCTACCTGTGTCCACTCTGGGGCACACAGAGATCCCGGAGCGGCCTCCCCACAGGGACGTGAGCAAACACGTACACACACACATACACGCACATCCCCTAGCTACCTTCCCAACCCCGCAAACACACACACATGGACACGAACCACCCAAACCCTACACCCTTCTCCCCAGGATGAGCCTCAGGACGGCAGAGGCAAGATGATCCCATTCTGCCTGGGGTTCTTCTCTGGAGCCCCACGTCCTTGCACACGTGACCTTCGCCACAGCAGATGTGTGACCCCCCCCCCCCCCCCCCCAGCACACACAGGCTTACTCATTCTCGTGCAGAACACTCACGAAACACCTACTATGGGCTCCGGCCTGGATCAGGGGTGGGCGCACATAGGAGGGTGAGACCCACATGGGCCCCAGGGACACACATGTTTTCTCCATTCCTGTCTGAGCCAGCAAAGTCGGGCACGTTCACTCAGAGCAGCAGGGCCCCAGGCTGGGAGTCCTAACAGCACAGCCAGGGGGAAGGCATGGCTGAGGAAGGGGTGGGAGGCCCAGGACCCCAGCAGGGTGGCAGATGAGGGTCACCTCCCAACCCTCATTGCAACCTATCGGGTCTGTGTAGGAAGAGGACAGTCACAGGTGGCACCTGGAACCCCAGGTGGGCAGAGTGACCCCGGGAGCCAACAGATGGCTGTTCCCTGGGACGGGGTGGCCGGTGGGCCACTGTCCTGACCTCAAGCTACATGGGGTTGGGGGCCCAGCCTGGGAGGAGGGGGCTCTGGCTGCTAGATTCAGTGGCTCAGGGACCAGGGAAAGGGGCTAAAAATAGCAGGAGGCAGCTGAGCCCTCACTATATATGGCAGAGAGACAGAGGCTTTGAAGGGCAGGCAGCTTAGAGGAGGGAGGGGGCTGGGTGGGGGTCTGAGGCAGCCCAGAGGCCTGCGTTCCTGAGCCCCCAGGCCCAGAGAAGGTGGTCTGAGCCTGGCGGTGGCTAGGGCTCCAGCTGGTTTCCTCTGGTGCCCAGGGCTGAGCAGGCTGCCCCAGGTGTCAGACGGGGCGATGCCCAGGTCACGAGGCCACTGGCAGTCCCGGTCCTGCCTCCTACTGTCCCGGCTCTCCATTTGGGGTGAGAGAAGGCAGGGGTCAGGGCAGGGCTGGACCTGGGGGGTGGGGCGGGCCCCTGATGGGACAGCGGCCCTTGTCCCCGTTCCTCCCTCTCCTCTGGCTCAGCACAATCACCTTGTGTCTGGGAACGGCAAGGGCTTTTCCTATCAGAGGAAACTGAAGGTCACACTTTTCCTCATTGATCTTGCAATGTTTGTTAATTACTCTGTCACTGATGTGGCGAAGGATAATTAAACAGCTCTGTTTATATCTTATATGCATAATTATGTGGCTGCGCAGGGCTCCCCGCGCAGGGAGGAGATGCGCCCCTCGCTGCAGGGGGAAGGGGATAGGGGAGCAGGCAGGGGAGGCTCGGGGCACCGGGCACAGGCCTGAGAAGGAGGCTACGAGCTGGAGAAAAGGCCCCGCACCCGGGGTTCCATCCTAGCCACGGTGACCCCCTTCCACCCAAAACCGCAGGCCCTCTCTCCCTGGAGTGTGAGAAGCTCGGGGCTGCTGTGAGTCATAAGGACAAGGAGACAGCAGAAAAGCCAGGCCTCAGCCACCTCGTGGGAAAGAGGTCAGCCAGAGGAGCGCGTCCGGGGCAGGTGGCTGTGATGGGATCTGCGGGCCGGGCTGAGCCATCCTGAGGCCCTGTGCCTCACCCCTGAGAGGTCCTGCCTAGCAGAGCCGGTGTCCCTGGGAAGGAGAAGGATTCTGGGAAGGGGCAGGGGAGGAGGCTGCCAGAACAGGTCTATCCCGGAGCTCTGCTCCTGTGGCTCTAGGGCTGACCCTGCAGGCTCCTGTGATGCAGGGGTGGAGACACAGTCCCACGGTCTGTCGTGGGTCTCACGTCCGCACAGCCATCCCTCACCTCCTCAGGCCCCCCATGCTCACACAGCCGCCCCCAGCCCGGCTCACACCTGGAGCGCTTCCCTCCCACCCTGAGCAAGTCTTCCCTGTTCGCGCCAGTACCTCGGCCCCAGGCCTCGCGGGGCTGGATGAGGTGCCGGGACACGGAGCACGAGTGGGGGAAGCGGGCAGGCTCTGCGGACCCCCTACTCCTTCCCTGCTGCCCGCCCCCCCCCACGGGCTATGCCATCTGTCCGTGCGGCTGTCTGTCCGAGGCTTCAGGCACCTACCCGAAGCCTGCTTGGTACTGGGGCCGCTGTCGTCCTTGGAGGCCGCCCCGTCAGACTCCTTCTCCTCCGTGACGCCGCCGCCATCCCTGGGGGGCTCTTCGCCGTGGTCCTCCTCGTCGCTGCAGCCCTGGGGCTGCACCATGTAGACGCCCTCGGGCGGCAGCTCCAGGCCCTCGCGGCCGATCCGCCCCAGGCTGGGCGCGGGCGCGGGCTCCTCGCTGTACTCGCCGTTGACCCACTTCTCGATCACCGCCCGCCTCTTGTCTTCCTCGCTGCGGACGCCCCGGGCCACGCCGGCCTCTCGGTCCCGCGGCCGCAGCGGGCTGCCCTCGGGCTGGGGGCCCGCCTCTGCCCCCTTCTCCACCACCACCTGGCGGCTCAGCTTGGCGCAGATGGCGTTGAGCTTCAGGCCGCCTTTGCGCTTGGCCGCCATTGCGGGCTTGCCTGCGGGCGGGTCGGTGCACCGGGTGCCTTCAGCTGCGGGGGTGGAGGGAGAGGTCAGAGGGTGCGGCCACCACCTTGGCGGCCAACCCCCCTCCCCCACTAGGCCCTAGGTTTTCCGGATCCCACCTTCCTCACGCTGCCCCTGGCTGGGGCAGCGGTTGGTGGGGGGGGGGGGGGGGGAGGATGTCTGCGCCCCTCACCAGACTGTGAGCTCCAGCGGCCCAGCTCGCCCAGCGCCCCATCCCTAGAGCCTGGCACCGAGGCCGGCGTGCACTGGGTGGTTCAGGACGGTTTGGAAATGAACATACGAACGAATGAATGAACGACTCCTCAAACACGAGGGGCAGGCTTCTCAGCACCTGGTTCCCGGAAGCGTTCCCTACACTTGCTTGGCCCTAAATTCCTCTTCTGAGAGGCGGGCACACACTGAGGCCCGCCGTGGCCTGCCCCGTGGGGAGATCACCCAGAACCAGGGACCGGCCCGAGCCAACCTCTTGCCCTACTGTCCCGGCCACTGGTGGCTGGGACCCTTCCCCCTCTGAGTGTCTCGTCCCTGGCAACTCCCCTGCCAGACTTGGTCCCTGGACCCCACCTGACTCCTACTCCTGCTCACTGGAGAGCTGTGGCATCTCTTCCTGTTCTCCCGGCCGCCGAGGGCCCTCTGAAGGCCTCTGCTTTTCCTCACTCCCCTTGCTTTCACAGACCCTCTTTTGTCTTCTCTGGCCATTTCCTTTCCTCAAGCCTCAATCAGGGCCACTCAAGGGCAGAACGCTCACAGTGTTTCCAAGAACCGCTCATCCTTGTCTGAGGATCCCACTCTGCCCTCTCTGCCACAGCCACAGCTCCTTCCCTCGGAGGCCTGGCTGACTCCAAAGCCCACTTCCCAGCCCCGAGAAGCCACAGCTGGAACAGGCTGGGCTTTCTCAGACCCCCAACGGAAGGCCCAGAAGCTGCAGTTGTTGTTCCTGAACGACACGGCAGCCCGACAGAAACTCTTTAATGCGGCTGCCGGGGTCTCGCCACCTCCCTCACGGCTGCTGGGCGGGGGCACCCAGGGGTCCAGGGTCGGGAGCACACGGCGGGTCCGCTCACCACACAGCCTGGGACCTGCCACCAAGGCCAAGGGTGGACACACATACACATTTTGTGTATATGTCTGCCTGTCCTCCACCTTTCCATCTGTCCGTTTAGTTGGCTCCTATCGTGTGCCAGACCCTGCGGTGTGCATGGCAGACGGCCTCAGCCGATTTGAGCACAGGGGGCCCCACTGGAGCCTCTCAGTGGCAGGGCTCCCTGGTGTGTCCCCCAGCAGAGGAATGGGTGTGTCTGAGTCTCCACCCACATTGGTCAAAAGGCCGAGTGAGGGCAGGGGCTCCGCTTCCAGGGCTATGGGCAGAAGGGGCTTCCCTAGAATATAGATCAACACCCTGCGAACCCCCACACACAAAAGCCCACCAACAGGCATGCTCACACAGGACGGCCACCCCTGCCTGCCTGGGGACCCTGTCCCGCAAGGAGACTTGGCTCGTACAGACGGGTGGTTGTACAATGCCCAGTGGCCCCAGACCTGCCTCGAAACCAGCTGCCAAGGTGGCCTCAAAACCGGTGTATGGCCTCACCTGGCCCAGGGACCCACCGGCCCCAGCCCAGTCCAGCCAGCCGACTGCCCCAGAAGGGTCTGCTTGGCTCACACCAGTCGGCCCAGTCTTGGGGCCCTGGCTCTGCCGGGCCCCACCCCTGCCCAGGCCATGGGCCTACTCTGCCCAAGTTCATCCGCATCTCCAAGTGTGTGCCGCCCACACCCAGGTCTCCAAGTGCTGACGTGGGTTCTCCAAAGTTCAATGATGGTTCCCCTAGTCACAGCATCCCACCCAACCTCTGGGCCAGCTGCCAGGCTGCACGACACCAGGCTTGCTCCAGCAGACCTACAGGGAGCAGGCCTCACCTGGCCCCCTTGGTCCCCTGCCCTCGTGGGGACGGGAAGGGGAGAGTGGGGGAGCCTGCTCTATTTTTACCAGGAGGTAAGCAGCCAAGTGTGTAAGGGAGACAGCAAATGGATCTATAAATATTTATCCCAAGGAAGAGGGAAGCAGAAACTCCCAGGGCTGCACTTGCTGCTGGTGACACCCCCCTCCCTGGGCTCCCACCCATCCTGGAGCCTCGAGGCACTTGGGCCCACCCAGGCCAGCCCACCCCCTCCTGCTCTCCGGCGTGTGCCTGGCTCGGTCCCTCCTGGGCCCCCACCAGCTGTGATGCAGCTGTGCACCCAGGGCCCACCCCCCGCCCACAGGCCCCTCTGCTCCGCCTACACCCCCCACACCTGCCCTCCAGCTGCCGCTCTGCCCCAGCCCACCTGCCTTCCAGATGTTGCCCTCCCTCTGACTCTACTGCCGATCCCAGGGGTAGAGGTGGAGAAGGCGTGTGGGCCTGGGGTGCAGGGCAGGAGGCAGAGGCTGGGGCAGCGGGTGGGGAGTATGAAGGAGCCAAGGTCCGAGCTGCTCGCCCATCCGCCTTCCGGCCCACTCCGTGGGGTCCCCCTCCCCTCCCCCTCCATCAGGGCGCTGGGACATACAGACTACCCCCCTCGTGGTCTGACCCCAGGCTCCTGTCCATGTAAACATTCCCCCGACTTTCTTCCCTAAAATATAAACGCCGTGGCCGGGCCTCAATGGGAGGAAGCCATCCGTCCCCGGCCCTGTCACTGCCCCTTTCATCTCCTTCCCGCCACCAGCCTGCCCGCTGCTCTATTTACACTGGACACTTCCTCTGGGAACAATACTGCCCGGGAGGCAGGCTTGGGCCAGGGGGTGGGAAGGCGAGGGGAGTCCTGCACTGCTTACCCAGGGCCGGGCTCCAGAAAGGAGGCCAGGGGCGGGGCAGCGGAGGTGAGCCCCAGTCAGGCTGGGGGAAACAGGGGAAAACTGGGGAAAGGAGCGACGGGTAGCCGCACGTGCGCAGCCGGCCCAAGGGCTCTCCTAGCTTCTAGTCTCTGGCCCCGGTGCCTCCGCATCAGTGGGGTGAGCCCCAGGAGGCGGCACAGCACGAGGGCATAGCCTGGCTCTCCCGCTTGTTGGTGGAAGGGCCCCAGGCAGGCTCCCGCCCTGGGAAAGGGCCACAGGACTGTAAGGTGAGAGGGTTCTGGCAAGCCAGGACCTGGAAGAAGGCAGCTGAGCCCTGAGAGGGACAAGCAAGCAGGTGTGGTGCACCTCTAGGCACAAGATCCCAAGACCGGGACACTTCACCGGGGCCAGAAGAAAGAGGGGACACCAGAGAGGCTGGGGGGCTGGGCTGGGCTGGGGGCAGGCTGTCCACTCAGCAACAAACGACCCCTTCCCAGGTCTTCCGACCTCCTCTCCCAGGGCTCCAAACTCAACCAGCCCCCTGCAAGCAGTTCTCCTGTGTAAGCTGAACAGATCCTGCTCAGGGTGGAGGAAAGGAGGGGCAAAAACCAGACCGTGCACATCTCCAGGTACGGTCTCCTGATGCCTCGTGATGACCTCGTGAAGCAGGCACTGTCATCATCCCATTTGATAGAAGAGGCAACTGATCCCGGAGCCGTGAAGACACCCAGAGCCCAGGCTCACAAGGGGCCCGGGCTCTGCCAGGAGCTGGGCAGCCACCGTGTCCCCAGTTGAGGCTTCTGGGTGGGCCCTAGGAAGTCCCAGTCCTCTCTTCCCATCTCCTCCTCACTCCCTCTCCTGGTTCCCATAACACGGAGCCCCCTAAAGTGTTAACTGCGATGGGTAAAATGGTGCAGCAGATTGCTACAATAAATAATTTACTGATATTTATAAATATTCAAATCAGCCAGCTTCAGAAATCAAATGAAGGGAGGGCCTCGGGAGAAGGGCCCGTTATGGCAGGAACCTCATCACTCCCTCCAAAGGCTGGGGAAGGCCAGGGCTCCTGCCAGTTATGGGGGAGACAGGGGGGCTCCTACCACTGCACCTGGGCCCCCTGTCCCTGATCTCTGGGGATGAAGGGGTTGGGGGTGGCTGGAATGGCTCCACCTCCTTGCCAGGTTGAGACCAGACCCTCCCCTGCCCCGGGCAGCCTGTGTCAAGGGGTCGAGAGGCTCCAGTGCCCAGTGCCCACTGCCTGGGGCTCGAAGTTGCTTGTTCTGCCCTGGGTGGGGGGGGGCAGTCCCTGGGGGCTGGGCAGGCCTGGCAGCAGCCCCCCCCCCCCACTTGTGAGTAATGTGTTTCGGGGCCGGGCGGCCTGTCAGCTACCAGGCTCCGGGTGCTTTATGGGCTCTGCCTGGTGGCTCTGAACTCCCTGGTAGGAAATAAAGTTCTCCCTGTGCGTCCCTTCTAAACATTTCACTCAGTGGAAACGGTGTTTAAGAAAAATGAGGACATATTTCTTCCTAAGGATGCAGTGTCCCCTTTGGGCAGCCTAATGCCCGCTGTATATCAGGAGGTGGGGAGGCAGGGGCCAGGCACCGGTCCCCTGGGGTAGGGATGATCCGGGGCCCCCCTGCCTGCTGCCAGGCAGCTCAGGGGCCACAGACACTGCCAGGCCACTGGTGGCCGCCCTGTGGCACGGCCCAGAGTGATAGGGCGGCTGGCACCCTCTGAACACCTCCCCTGTACCAGAGACCGTGCTGAACACTTCCTGACGTCAACTTCAGTGACCCCCCCCCCCCAACATCTCCATGAGGCTGTTGACCTGTCCCCATTTCCAGATGAGGAAGCAGAGAGAGCCTGGTGAGATTGGTAACTGCCCACGGTCACTCAGTGTCAGTGCTGGAATCGGACTCCCATGGGGCTCGGACGCCCAAGGCCACGGTCTCACACCCCACACGCCCCCCTCCCCGCTCCCCAGCCTCCCAATGGGGTGGTGGCAATGTCAGAGCTTCCACGCTGCCATCCCTAAGAACTTGAACTTGACAGGCCCCAGTTTTCAAGTGATGCATCTATGTTCATTCAAGACACCCTCTGAGCTCCTTCTACAGGCCAGGCCCTGGGCTCAATCCTGAGGACAGCATGAGAGCAAGACAGACTGTCCTGGTTCCTGCCACCACGGGCAGCTCA